TTCCAAGAAGCAAAAAAACAAGCACTCAGTGGCACATTTTAATACCTGTGGACCTGCAAGGAAAAACTTTAACATTTGAAGGCGGACGGCACAACTCAAAACTTTAATATTCAACTTTTATAATTTTTCCATTAATTCATAAGTTTCTAAGCATTAATGCCAGATGAGACCATTTAAATACTGACGGAATTCCAAGAAGAAGCAAACAAGCACTCAAAGGCACATTTAAACACCTACAGACCTGCAAGGAAAAACTTTAACATTTGAGGGCGGACGGCCGGACAGAAGACAGAAATCGGTATTACACTTGCTTCGCAGCTTGCCAAAAGCCTACAGAGACAAAAACCATGATTTGGAAGGAAAAAACTGAGGTTTTGGCAGTCGCTTACCACACATGGTTTGGTCTTCGTCCGAGCTGTCGCCGCAATCGTCTTCTCCATCGCAGCGCCACCAACGTGGGACACATTGCGAGTTGCCACACTGAAATTCATCTTCAGCACATCTTCTAGTGCCTGGGAGAAGAGATAAAAGAAAAAGACTTCCTAGACTCCTTTCCAGTTACTTCTTTTTAATTCCGGCATAGTCTAATCTCTTACTTGGGAAAAGATGGGCTTGTTGAAATTCCATGATCGCCATATATTATGTAATAAGTTAGATACATGTATAAGGCTTATCATTAAAACATTTTTCCTTATCATCCTAGCCCTATTTGTAGTAATTAGTTCTGTACAAACATGTATTTAAGAAACAAACTTTGTGAAAACTTTGCACTGGTCTAGATGCTATGGAGAACAGGAGATTAATTTCTCCCTCTTATGCCTCAAAAGCAGCCACTTACAATTGTTCTCGTCTGAACCGTCCAAACAATCCCGATCGTTGTCACAGACCCAACCATTCCATATGCACTGATTGTTGGCACACTTGAACTCGCTTTCCAAACACTGCAGTGGGTCTTAACGATGAACAAAAGAAAAGGAGAAATGGAAATTACATCTCCATTTGTAACATCCCAGCCAAAAACTCTTGACTGTGCCAAACTGTTTTTTAATCTGAAGTCGTTAATTTTACGTCACAAAACATTTACAGTACATGATGGGCTAAATTTGACATAGGTTTGACTTCTGCTGATTTCCAGAAAACTGGAGTTGCAGATTTAAGCCCCAGGAAATGGTGACCTTAAATCATTTTATCATCACTTCTTCTCATGCAGTTCTCAGCCGTAGCTAGACTGGCCATAAACTGCTACTTTGAGATAATGAACCTAACCTTAACACAGTGGAAACGTCTCACATTTGCCCTATGAAATCTAATATACACCACTGACTCAGCAAAAGTTCACCCACTCTTAGGGCTGCATAACTTCAAGTCAAGTTTCACTTAATTTTCAATTATCTAAAAAGGTAGAGGGACTGGCGGTTTTATCCTAGCAGAACCATTCTCAAAGTTTTTCACCGATGTAAAATCTAAAAGTTATTAACAAGAGAAAAAAATGTGCTTGGCTCGTCTTAAACGGGCATTTAAGACGAGCTCATGAGAATGGATGTGACTAATGCCCAAGCCGTAGGCAAGGGCATTATCATACATTCAGTCTCCTGAGCTGGTCTAAACGGTAGTTTAATACACATATTTATTCCCAGTCATAAATAGCTTTTTGGTCAGAGAGTCAAAAGAAGTCAATATATGATGGATTTTCATTGATTTTGTTCTGGAATTCGACTTCCATTTTACCGAACACCCGCATCCATTTTACGGAAAAGTCCTTGTGCAAATTGTCCAATTGGCACGTGCGGCAAGCCCCGTGCACAGACTCTTGACCAATCAGAATCAATTACACTGCACTATCCTTTCTCGGTGGGCATTATCAATGTTAATACAAGGTCAAGTTGCACATTGTTGAATAGAGAGACTGTCTGAGGTATTTACGAATGTTTAATCAATTGGCTGCTTTAAAATAAGCCATTTCACACTCTGGCAATTTCTGTGTATAATAAGGAGAGTTGGCCTTGGGCATCTTTGGAGGAATAGACAGCATAATTAGACACCGTTCCTCAGAGTACTCACTGCAAACATCTTCGTTTTCATCAGTTCCGTCGGAACAGTGTGATTCACCGTCACATTTCCAACTCTGGGGAATGCACCGGTTGCCGTCGCATCCAAATTGGTTCGTGCCACAGGTGAAATCTGTAGGATAGCGGGAAGTCAAACAACTTTAGCAGATCTGGTCCTTTCTCGCTGATGGTTGCTAAAGCAACGAGATCACAACAACAACAGAGGGAAAGCCCCTGTGAACCAGTTGCGTAGATTATTGTTCCACAATGAACCTTTCCCACGGGCGGAGTCACTTTCAGCCGAATACACTGACGTTTTAAAATGATAAGAAACCACAACCGCATTCCTTTACACAGTTGGACTTTACAAATGCCGACCCTTGGTGGTCATTTGTTCAAGATACGTGAGACAGCTTCTATGCCACATCATTGCTTATTTTGCACTCCAAGATGATGTCATGGAGCAATACCTGCTATGAGGCCTGGCACCGGGTCAATCATGTATGTAATTCCATCAACTTACTACAATTAGCCTCGTCGGATCCATCCACGCAGTCATTGTCAGCGTCACACATCCAATTCCTGGGGATGCATCGCTTGTTGTTACATTGGAAGTAGGTGGGCGGACATGTCAACTCCCCTTCAAATAAAGACAAAATAAACCAAAGCAAAAGCGAGTAAATTATAAGGTCATGCCACTCGTTGAGCATATTTTCCCTTATTTGCAGTACAATGTGCAAAAACTGAACCTAGAAAATGTGCCAGGATATTTGATCTCCACATGAAATAACACAAAAACAAGTCTGGTAGCAACGACCCCTTTCCATACAAGATGTGAACTGAAGAAAGGTTGATATCCACAAGAATTTTTTTTATTGTTTTCTGAATACGACTTTTAAGAAAAAACACAAATCTTTCTCCATCTTCTTCCCATTCATCCCAATAAATAAGAAAAGAACTATAATTTCTTAGCTTCAGAACACCTTACGTACCACAGAGATTTGCATTTTCATCCGATCGGTCTAAGCAGTCAAATTCACCGTCACAGCGCCACTTCATCGGAATACACTGGGAGTTGTTGCACGTGAAATGGTTCACTGGACAAGTGCGGACTCCTAAAAGAATTCCAACATGGAGGACTGGTTTAGAGGCAAAGATTTCCAGACAGATGTATCAGAATATAAAGCACTCTTTTGTTTTACAATACAGTTGCACTTAATAGCGATATTGATAGAGTATCATTAGAAGAGGAATTTTGCAACAATCTCAGCTGTAGTCTTATACCACTGTCACTTAGCATCTAATGCTACTCTTGTATTAATGCTCTGAATAGTGCGAGTCGAAAAGTGCTTCAGCATGTCTTTATCGTTACTGAATTGAGAAGGAAAAGAGCTACGATCCATGATGTCACGAGCTTGTCATCTGCTTGTTGAATTCAACTGCTGATATTGAATTTCCCTCACCACATGAGTTGGGTTCGTCGCTGCCGTCTCCACAATCGTCTTCCCCGTCACACTTCCAGACTTGGGGAATGCAGTTGCTGTTATTGCAGGAAAACTGCTGCGGCCGACAGGTTTGGCGGGCTTTAAAATTACAGAGACAACATGGACCGTAACTAATTGAATAGCGTACAATAACTACAGGACATGATTTCCATTGAAATAACGTTTATAAAAGGAGGAATACGTCAGACTTAAAGGGTTAAAAACTGAAAGTCTCAAAGGAAAGCACGCTTTAAAAAAGTCAGAGATATTTTCAAAATAAATGTCAGCAAGTCTGCATTTGTCAATGAAAAAAAAATCGACCTTTACTTTCAAAAAGCGTTCCAGGGAAAAACTTACGGCAGTTCCTTTCATCTTCGCCATTGGGGCAGTGGGCGAAACCATCGCAGTGGAAGTACAGAGGAATGCATCGGCTACTCTCGTTGCACTTGTACTGGCTGGTCATGCAAGTGTGGTGCTCTGCAATGATTAGGACACAGGCGCAGCGATATTAAGGGAAACAGGGTTAGGAGGTTACGACTCTGGCCCTAATTGAAACCCTGCCCGTGCTGAGCTGTGCTGCAATTCATTTACCTATTAGGGCCCATTTACACAGATGGGTCATAATGGACTCCAATGCAGTATTAAACATATCTCAAACAACAAGGGCTTCCTGAGGAACTGTTCACACTGAGAGCAAGCAAACTGTGCGACAGGACGATGAAGTGCTGTGTTAAGAAATATGAGTCATTTTTCAGAGATACAGCAGCCTCGTTAGGTGTGATGGTTGAGTATGTCTTCATTAGGCCTTTGATCCAATCTGTGGGTGCCACTGTTTTTACACTAGGTCTTGAGCAACCGTCAGTACATATTTTTAAAAGCGTGGCTGCAAAATGAGAGTTAGAACGTGGAGAAACCCACGATGTTCAACCACCAAGGGAAAAAAAAGGCAGTTTCAGCTATTGGGAAGCGTTCCTTGAAGTGAAGATGAGTTTTCAGACCCCCCCCTGACCGTTGCAAGTGAGGTGTTGCTGGTGTGCGCACTCACCGCAATTCAGCTCGTCCGAGCCGTCGTTGCAATCATCTTCTCCATCACAGATGTAAGCCGGATTGATGCAGTCTTTCTCTTCCTCTGTTGAGTTCTCACACTGGAACTGACCCACAACGCAGAGGAATGGACCTAATGGGCCAAAAAAAAACAAAACATCAGATTGTTGAGAAGACAAAACTTTTTTTTCATGATTGAGCACTTCTTTTAAAGACAAGATTCATTATCGTTTCGGGGGATTTACTTAAGCCTGTGACAATGTCTTTACCTTCATTGATGACTTTTGAACTTTACTGCAAATATTTTGCATTGATTTAAAACATGGTAATAAGCAAATTAATTTTATTCCTATTTTCCCCTTGCTTGACATACAAGCAATAGATATTCACAGATTATTTCAACTGAGGCAATTTTGTTCAATGAAAAATTCTGAAAAGTTGCAAAACAGGCACACAGGTCCAATATGCCAAAACCTTGTCAACCATTATTCAAAATCTGCTCAACTGAGTGAAAATTTAGAAAAACATGTCATAATGTCAACTATAAACAGAACTGCAGACGTTTAACATGATTCTAAAATGTTTCTGCTAATATTCTACACCTTTCAAAACAAACTCCGGTGTTATAGTTGAGTATGTCACAAATACTTTACAAGCATTCATTACAAGCTGAGACAAGTACTTTTTCCAATCAAGAGATGATGACCAATAACGGAGGAGTGTCTACTACACAAGAACAGCTTGTGGCTTTTTCAGACTGAGGCTACAATGAAATATTTCCGGTCATAAAGCTGAGGATTCCTCAAAAGCGCCGCTGGCACTGTAGGTTACAAGTCTGAAGAAACCTTTAAAGGGGAGACAATGAGAAGCAGTTACAGTTTTAGAAGTGGGAGGAAAACCCCAGAGGAATATTCTGGGTAAAACCCACAAGTGGGCACTGAAAACCCAATCCACATGTGGACCAGGCCAGGAATCGAACCTGGTCCACAGAGATGGAAGGTGAGGAGGGAACCACTGAACCAACCTGACTACCCCGAGGTGAAGACTTGAATGTGTTGGATAGTTGTGAATACCATGGGTGAAGTACTCGACTACAACACTGACAAGCTCCGATACTCACGACACTCGGCGGGCTCATCCGAGTTGTCTCCACAGTCGTTCTCCCCATCGCAACGCCACCAGAACGGGATGCACTTGTCGTTGTGGCAGACAAATTGGCTGGAGGTGCAGTTGGACATGCAGGTCAGCCCGTCCGGTGACAGGTAGTAGTTAGTCGGGCAGGCGCAGGTGCGGCCGTTGCGGTCATTGAGTAGGCACAGGTTGCTGCAGCCGCCATTGTTGTGCTTGCAAGGGTTGAAGACACCTGTTGGGTGGGTAGTGGTAAAAAAAACTCTTACCTCAGTTGAGAAAAAAATGCTTTTCGAGAAGCAACAAACGTGTAACTCACAGGATCGAAGTCATCTATACACCTGACTAGGCAGCTTAGAATGTCATCAATTCTCTTTCAAACAAACAAAATTTACCCACAGATGCTTGTCGGAAGAGGCCACTCTACATGGATGTTACAAAATGCTTCCCTTTATGCCCCAAGTTGGCCCTGAAACCACTTCCACAATCTTCATCCCCTTTCTTGACATTCAAATTTTTTTAAATATCAGTAGTAATAATACTAATGGACCATTCTTATTCAGCATATTTCAAGGATGCTCTCCATATGCTTATTTCCTTACTATTCCAACTCACCAGGCACAAAGATTGAACATGAAACAGTTTGAACCTTGGCAATTCGTAACTGGCAACCCAATGGTGCGATGACTGAGATTGCCTTCTGTGACCAGCATTGATGTTGATTTGTTGAGTTGGTTAAGTTGGGTTGGGTTGGGCGAACTGGGATAGGGTTGCATTGGTTTGGGCTGGGTGGACTGGAATTGGGTTGTGTTGGGCTGGGCTGGGTTGGGTGGACTGGAATTGGGTTGTGTTGGGCTGGGCTGGGTGGACTGGAATTGGGTTGTGTTGGGCTGGGCTGGGTGGACTGGAATTGGGTTGAGTTGGGCTGGGCTGGGTGGATTCACATTGGCTTACCATGTGGTTGTCTGAGTGGATGATAGACATGGATATCCATCGGCCGATGGACCGTGCTGGCTAGGACGGTCCGGTTCTCGCCGGTGTATTTGTTGGCCTTGATCACCTGCTTGTTCTCCCAGTCCGTCCAGAGGAGCCAGTCCTCAAACAGGGAGATGGCAAAGATGTGTGGGATGTCTTGATCAATCACCACTTGCCTGACAAAAGGAGGGGAAAGAAAAATACAAACCTTTCTTGCCAAATCCAACTTTGGAACAAAAGCCTAAAGCTATCCATGTGAATAAACAACTATCAATGAATTATGGATTTAGCTTTTTTCGATCTCTTACAGGCTTCCTTCAACACTGGACTACCTTTTAAAGGAAAGGATTCTTTTATAAGCTTCCTGCATATCGGCAAGATCTTTGGATGGCTGAAGATCCAATCCAACAACTATAGCCTGTTAGTTGTACAATGTATGACAATGGCTTGATTAATCACATATTCAATATTTACAAATCAACAGAATATGCCCATGCAGGGTATCAACTGTGTTCCACTATCTCCTTAACACTGTGTAAAGCCATTGGTGAAGGGATGTTAGCAGTCTGGTACCTGTTACGGCCATCCCACTCTACAAACTCAATCCTGTCCTTATGGGCGTCAGCCCAGAAGACCCGGTCCGTGGTGTAGTCGACGGTCAAGCCGTTGGGCCATCGGAGGTCGTCCTCCACTAGGCGAATGGCCGATGTGCCGTCCATACCTGAGCAGGGGGGTCACAGAGGTGAATAACAGTCACATGACCACAAGGAAAAGAATGCTGCCTGTACGACAGTAATGGCCTGCAAAGAGCAGAGGCTGGAGCTTGGTCTTTGAGTAGGACTCGCAATGTACGGTTGTAAAGAACTGCGTCTGATAGAATATGTTAACTTGCAGTCATGACAATCCGAGTTTAAATTGAATTTCTAGCAGTTGTACGTAAGGTTCCAAAGTTGACATTATATCACAGGGCGTGGCAATGCTGCAGAGAACAAAACACTTTGTGGGGGGGGGGATCGAGCAGTTTCAAAATAAAGTCTGGCATCAGAATTTTAATGGCGATGACAGGTTCCAGGAGGTCTCCCAATCACACAGGATATGGCTGCACCCAAGATACTTGGCTGTGGCTTGATATAATACAAACATCTGTAGGCAATGTTTGAAGCCGCTAGCTGGAAGCTGGTGGCTCCCTTAGGCCTGTGTTCCATTCCAGTCAAAGCCATGTTAGTCCAGCATAGCCTAAAACTGGTGACAGCACAGGCCAGATTCCCGTACGACATGTGCCCATAAATGCCCGGTTATCAAAGGGTACTGCCAGTTGTATTGGACAGCCCGCCCTCAGTTGCACACCTGCAGAATTACTCTTGGACTCCACAAATTCAAAGTACACAAAAATAATCCTCTCACTCACTTGCTCTGCCAACGTAAGGCTCCTGTCCCCAATCAGTCCAGAAAATCAAACTGGAAGAGAAAAAGAACAGGTCACATTTTGTCTCAGTAAACTTTTTAGACATCCGTTTCACAAAAGTGCAGCTGTAACTGAAATCCGATGAAGGCATCACACCATCTCATTCGTTAAATGTGTGGGTATACACCAATCTTTCTTCAGTTTGGGGATCATCAGTACAGAGCATTTGAAAGTCCCCAACTTGCTGGACTGGGGATTTGCCTACCCGTTCCGTGGATCAAGAGCAATGGCCCGGGGCTCGTCCAACCCTTCTGTGATGAGGGACCGACGGTAATTGCCGTCCAGGAGGGACACTGCGATCTCGTCCAATCCTTTGTCGCACCAGTAGAGGTTCCTGCCAATCCAGTCTACCGCCAAGCCGTCCGGGTTGCGCACTCCCTGGTGAAGAATCTGGAGGCAAGAAACCCATGCATGCACTGTGACCCCTGCACCGTAGTTGTGGGGACATACACTCGACATTTCACCTAGTTTGTGGGGACCAAAAAGGTTGTGGGGACTCAGAAACGTCCCCACAACTTGGCTTAAATTCCCCTCACAAAAGAACTTGTCCCCTTAACGCGGTGAATGCCTACCCTGTAATGTTAGGCCAAGTAAACACTGCACAATTTTTTAATCAAAACCAGGAGGAGAAGCAGCTGTCTTTTTTTGTTTGTCTTTTTAACTCAGCAGATTTGCTCTAGACGACAGATGGATCTTCTGGACTACCTCTGGGAACTTTCTCCTCTCCACCAGACATGTAACTGTCTCTGTAAATTAAAAACAAGTCTACATGGAGTGCTAAAACAGGTTGTTGATGAGCATTTGGGGCAATAGAGAACCACCACTTGAATGCAATTTTCACATTCACTCTGTCTATGAATTTGGGGCGAGGTTTTTTGAAGGTTATCTGGTAACAAGGTTGGACTTGAATAAGGTCTGATCAAATGACCACACGACCACACGGACACCCAAAGGTTGGCCATCTTTTACTGAACACAAGTGTTTGGTTAACAGCCATATGGCATCATTGTAACCTTCACGGTGCGGCTTTGTTTGGTGTAAAATAATTTTTCTTGTACTTTTTATAGAGCTTTGAAGGATTGCCTACAACCTAAATACTGGGCACAGGCACGCCATCTTTGACTAGGGCAATGGCAGATGTATATCGGGTCATGTTGGATAGTGCTCTTGCTAGGTCACAGTCGTAATTTGGCCTGCCTCTGGCTGGTAAACCTATGGCTGACCATCAGTACAAAAGTGAAAAATTTAACACGGCTATCAAATCACCATATAACATACAGTATGACTAAATACTAAATAAAAATACGACTCCTTTAAAAGTAATGGGGCAACTATACATTTTGAGGTGAAATCTGACACAAGCTGGGGTGATATTTCTGCATGCTTTGGCAAAGAATTGTAGGCAATGTGAGAGAGGGGTCGACGGAGTACCAGGGTCTCATACTATCAATAAATTAATGCCACTCACCTCCGGACCAGTGCCGTTCAGGAACATGCGGCTGATGGTACTGTTCTGGTGGGTGACCTCTGTCCAGTATATGCGGTCCTCCTCATAGTCAAAGTCCAAGGCCACAGCATTGGTCAGCTCCCGCGTCACCAGTCTGTAGTTGGCCCCACCAAGGTCCACCGAACGGATGTAGTAGCGATTGGAGAAGTACGCCAAGGCCTCGACATCTGTAAGGGGGAAAAAAAAAAGATGAAACAAAACACGAGAAATTCAGTCTTGAAAAAGTTGATCGTGTAAGCAAATGATTCTTTCTCTGTGTCTTACCTTCTGCACACTGGAAAAAAATACATAATCTATCATCCAGAATCTCATGCCTTGCAGTAAAGTCCTGATCCCACTAGTTCCCTGAGGTGGGTGACTAGACATTTTACAAGCCAACAAAGTTGGCATTTCTAGCGATTTTCAAAAAACATATCCGTACATTTCTGAGAGAGAATTGACTCCTTCAAGAGAATTAACGCTTAACTTTATGCAAAACTTTATCAAGAATCAATTATTCATGATGAGAAAAAAAAAATTCTGGCACACCAAAACACACTCAAATTTACCAAAAAAAAAAAAGTGCTTTACCACTGTCAGCCATCATACACTTGTCCGGATTGTTCGGCAGTGGCTTGTACCCCTCAGCACAGTAGCAGCGGTAATCCCCGGCCGAGTTGAGGCAACCCTGCGAGCAAGGCAGCGTCTCCACACACTCGTTGATATCTACATGGTCAGAAAATATTCACCAAGGGTCAATAATGAACATGCGACGGTGACAGAATCTAGTTCGGCAGTCCAATTGGGCAAGCGAACATGGAATGTTCACTTTAGGATAAACCGCATCAGAAAAATTTAGATCTACACGCCATCAACAAAAGTCATTGTAGCTAAACACGCCATCCAAAACTGTTCAAGCACTTACAAACAATAAAAACACGGCTCGGGACAGTTCCAAGTTTTTGGTATGTTGTACCTACTCAGGGCTAAGATATTCCAAATATCATCCTCATACGTTACTTTCCGTATTTGCAATCAGTAAAATGATGTTGCGAACAAAGCAGGGCCAAATATACTTTTCTTCATAAATCACACAGAACAATGCTGTATTAAATTTGTAGAGGAAAATACATGGAATGCACGTATAACATTTTGTGTAAGTTTAATTTTACTTATGCAAGGATTTCTGACCAATGGGTTTTGGAAGTTCCGAGGTGGAAACAATACAGTAGGTTTTCATTTTGTTCATTTTTATAGGCCTTCAACATTGTTACGTTTGATTTGACATTTCCAAGATTTACCAAATATTTAAACAGCATTGTAAGAATGTCAGGCCCAACCATACCGTGCAACCTAAGAATTTGAGATCACTTCAGTTGAAAGCACTTTGCAGGAGTCTTTTACTTCTAAACTTTAACCCTGCTATGCTGAAGTCACTCTTTGGGTCACTTGGTAAACACCTCAAAGAAGCTCAGCTGTGTTGTGTTGCGCACTGCACCAACAATCCCTCACAGGA